AATCTGACATGCGAAATCTGTTTGTTTTTTCCATGGTAACTATAAGCTTTGGGTTCAAACAGCTTCGATCCCTCTAAGAGGATTCCAGCAATATCGAGTTGCTTTTTATTAATTTGGACTGATCATTCCCTTCAGACTTGGTCTTCATGCTCGATCCTGGGTTCATTGAATCATTGATAAACTCAGGAGACACCAGACTCCTGTTAGAGTTCATCAGTAGTACGTGCATATCTAAAGACCTGTCTGGAATTTAAACTCTGGACCCCTGCCATGAAGGGCATATGTATTACCTCGATGCCAACCAGCTTTCACCGAAGCCGATCAGAATTATAAATTCGGATATCGTCTTTAGTGATGGTGAATCAGTTCTCTACCTATCAGCTCCATTCGCATGCTTCCCATTTAATCAGATCTCCCGTGTATCTTCGGGCGATCTAGCCACTAAACCAACCAGGCTGGATTTAAATTCACTCGTAGCTACTTGTTAGTGGTGGTGTGGTGTAGTTATATCGGCTAAGGCGGCTCATCTTTCGATTTTGTTTGCTTCATTTCGCATCACACTACTAGCTACATAGACAGTAGTTCAAATTAAAACATCAAAAACTTACTTCCGACTTTGTGGATTGCCCCTGGATGTCCATGCCACCGTTAGTCCACCAGAACTGCACAAAATAAAGGAATTCCAAAAGAAATATTAAAAAGAGCCAACTCACTATACCTTTCAAACTTCAAGTGGATCCTACCAATCGCACTGCATTGGAAAACCCTCAAAGTCATTGGTGTTTCGGCCGTCAAATGTCGCTGATTGGACCGGGTCTGTCTAAACTCCGTCCGAATGAACTAACCACTCCGTAAACAGACAAAAGTGCTTGTTGAGTGAGTTACCACGCGAGGATTAATGTTTCTGAGGGCGGTGAGGGTGAGGTGGGTCGTCCCCTCACAAACACACCCGTTCCGCCTGGGAACGTTATGTTCGTGATCGTTGATCGAGTGTGCGTCATAGACACGAATGACCGAGCCCAGAGATAATTGACCTTTGTCGGTCAGGTAAGGAAGCGAATCCGGTCAAGATGGATCGATAAGTCGGTCACCATTCCCAGACGTGAATATGAGCATGATTCATTGGATGAGTGTAGTCAGTCTAAGCCCTCAATAATCCAATGGGTAAATTCCATTGAGGCCGAGTCTCTCCTGAATAAAATCGATCCCTTTTAATAAAACGCGATTGCTTAAGTATTTCTGTCATTGAAATGCACAATTGACAAGATACTTAACAATGGTGACAGAAGTAACGGTACTTCACTTGAATAGTAATATTGAGTTCGAATAAGGGAAAAGGTTCAGTGGTTGCCACTTTGCAGTATATTTCCCGTATGTGTTACCACGAAAGATTGTGTAAACGAGCTACCTAACATAAAGGTGGAAAGCAGTGACATTTTTTCTACTCTGAACTGAGCTGGGCGGTTGTGTAGACATTTCACATTATTACTCTACGTCTCTGTAGTCAATGGCGTCTTCCGGATTATATTCATTCCGCCCGGTTTGTTGAAAATAGTGCATTTTTCAAACCAAATCTGTATTGTCATTTTTTGTTTAGTCCATCTTGCAATGATTAATAACTGGGAGTTGTTTTTAACGAGCAGCGAAAGGCCGAAACAGAGCGGTCGGCTTTCCGCGCCAGATAAACAGACTGTTCAGGAAGTGTGTGAATTGACCTGTAAGTTGCGATCAACCATTGCCATCTGACACGGTTTAAACGAAGACAAAGGCAAATCAATGCAGCGAACTGGCATTCGACACCGTTGACTTCTTGGGGAACTCCCAAAATTTATTGAACATTGTAGATTGTAGGAATGCCCCAAAAGTACGCTAACTGAAGCCGTCATGTGTTTGAGTGTTTATCAGGGATAAACCTGCTAGCTCAGCGAATTCTGACTAGTAGGCTTCGCTGGCTAGGGCACGTATTGTGTATGCCCATCTGTTGTCAGCCGTACAGCGCTTTATTCGCTTAAACTGATTCTGAATGAATGTGTGTGCAAAATGTTCAGTGTACAACAAGCTATCGGGTTAGGATAAATGGATAGGGCAAAGCCAGGTAACATGTGTGAAGTGGACAAGAATGAATAAGTTGAAACAATTATCTCCCGAAATGAACCTGAACAAAGAAAACATTGCAAGCGAGCACCAATAACTTTGTGGGTTTTCCAATGGAGTGCGATTGGTTGGATTGACTTGGAGTTGAAAATTGTAGATGAGTTACCCGTAGATGAGAACACTTGGCCAGATATGTAAGTTAAGGTCATCGCTCTATGCACCTCGATGATTGAATACCATCGTCATATATGAATACTCGGTTGCACGTTATTAACCGAATTTTTACTAAATCATAGTGTATACTGATAATTTTCGGCCGAGCAAGTTGAACGGTTTCTATTGAAAATTTTAAGTTCACATGTCCAGAATTCGAATTGAATTTCTGGGGTATTTTGTGATTCCGGAAAACTACATCGCTCAGCTGACACGAACTGTATTGTCATCGGCTAGGCTATCGGTAAAGCACTAGTATGAACCAAATATGAACAATGATTTTCGCAGTTCGCGGTAAACCGACATGATGCACGGTATCCAATGCTGCTTTTACTTTCAGATAGTCTGTTAGTTTTACACGATTTTTCGGATCATACTCTGTAGAGAACACCAGTCCGTTACTGTTGTCACACGTTATCGTACGAGACAGATTTCAGCTGGCCTGGTTCTCGAGACTAATTTTTTTTCATGTGAGTAATGGAAGATTTGATTCAATTTCGAGAGGAAAATTCGTCTTGTATATGGCAAACAAAGCTTGAATCGAAAAGCTAGGAAGCACTGAACGGCTGTTTCGACGTGGTTGGGTCTCATCATCGATCCCCAGTTGGGTCGATGGATTCGTACTGCTGATGAGATCCAACCAGGTCGAAATAGCTGTGCAGTGCTTCCTAGCTTTTTAGTTCACGATTAATTTGCTATATACATGAATTTCCCCTTTTAATTTTTTTTGTACCAGCTAGTCACGGATCAGGGATTACTTTTTCTTTCCTAAGGCAGATGCAGATTGGGTTAGGATGTTGAAGATATTATGCATCATATTCATTGTTCTCTTTCATACTGTGAGTGTCAAGCGGGAACAGATATCCATTGAAGCTTGAATAACCTTTTTCATATAAACAGCGCATAGCTACGGAAAGAAATTTGAGCACCCGCACCTCTGCAAACCGCATTTTATTAATATAATTCGAAACGGTGCCGAAAGAAATCCTATATGCGAGAACGGTTCCAACTAATGGACCGACCCACTCACGAATGGAACTGTTTTCCTCGTCACTTAGATGAGTATACTAAATTTACAATCGCTTGTCAATTGCCTCCAATATTTCGAACGGGTTTACTCAGAGCAGATGGTCAGTTGTCTGCAGCGTTCCCTCGCTATTCTCCTTCTGAGACCCATCTTCGCCTTCACGTGGGCATAGTTATTCATTTGGGAATGTTTATATGAGGACAGATATGAACACGGTTTCTCACCCCACTCTCATTCATCGTTGCATAAGTACAATCTGTTCTGTGGACAAACAAGGTGTGAACAACCCATACACACACACACACACACACAGAACAGTATTCCCGCGTCCCCAGACCCCTTGTACAGATTATTCGGGGAGGGGGAGGAGATGGTTATGGGTGACTATGAGCGTGAATGACATACATGAAACGGGTGACCAGCTATGTGTGTGTGCGTCGGGGGAGGCCGGGACCATAAAAGCACTGAACATCTGGCGGTCTGCTGAGCAATTTTCGAGTGTCGACGCGCGAAATCGCCAACAGTGGTTTAGTGGGTGGTGGAGCGTATACTAAAGCGAGATGTAGTGTTCGACTGTGCTGAACAAATTATTGGTCATTCATCGGCTCCTCAAAGTTCTCTCCTTTAATTCATCCAGCTTTATTCTGGTTGACCAGCCAACTGGACGAACGAATCGATGGAGTAATGAGGTCAAATTTATTACCTCTGTCTTAGTAGTCTGGATGTGTTGAGGATTTTCGTAGTTTCTTATTTCGATGATTCTTTAGAAATTGATTCCTGTTGTATGTAAACGGTTTAGTGGTCAAGGGAAGCATTTGGGATACTGATCATAAAAATGACTGATAAATTGCATCTGATGAATTCCGGAGTGTTCGTGTTTGCATCCACTAAGTACCTAAGTAACTATCCATCAAGCATTAGGCAATATTTTCACAAAACCACCCAATGCGATTTTACGACTTTTAGTGCGGGTAAATATCAGTGAAAAAAGATGTGGGTGATGTCAAAACCCATTAAAAAGATTAGACCACAATGTACTTCCCCCTGGATGCAGTTCATGATCAGATCAGCTTGTTTCCAAATTCAGCACCTAATTCAGTTGGTGTGTGCGGTCATGGTTTGTCTAATTTGCATGACGGAGCCAGTGCAATCCCTTTAGAGGTGGTGGAGTTTGCAAAGCCTATTACAAACTGCCTGAACGTGAGTTTTCTCCCAATTTACCGCTTTTTTACATCACGTATATATATATCCTTCAGAAAATTACCTGGTTACTGATGCTACTGGGATTTTCCATAAGTTGTACATCGAAAGTCGACTGCGAATAACTTACAGTAAGAAGGTGCGACGAGTTCCACAGTAGTCGCCAATCCTTCAATAACTGTCCGTTGGTGGTACTGCTGCATAAAACCGCGAGAGATCTTTTAAAACTAAAAACGCTAACCTTCCTCCCCACCTACCACTCTAATCATGAACCATAGACTAAGGTGAAACGAGCGTTCAGAGCGCAATTTCACTGGACGACCACTTGCTTAATAGGTGCCTGGAACTGTTAACATTTGCATCTTCACTTGGTTTCCTGTGGCACACCGATTCCTAGCAATTAGGCCAGGTACTGTTCCTTTTCGGTTTGCACAAGGTGAGTGATTTTGAATTCACGAAACTTGTTTCAACACATGCACAGCACTAGCATGGCAAATATGAGATCGAATGAATTTCTTACCAAATTTGGATAACGGTTCATTACCATTGAACTCATAGTATGTGACGGTAACTCTCCACTGCTCCCTACTCCACCCGTGTAATCAGTAGTGGTAGCAAGTCGGCCAGTGGAATTGGACACATCCGGATTGGTAAACGGAGTTGGCACTGATGAATCGCGTGGAACAGCAAGTGGATAATCGGAACAGTCTCGTTCGGGCCCGTAACCCAAGCGTACGGTCCCCACCGTGGGCGTGAAATTCAAAGTATCTGCACTGGTGGTATTCGTATTACTATTGATACGAAGTGAAATCCCCGGAGGCGGATACAGTGCACGATTCGGTAGTTCATTTTCCATTGGACCTCGGTTCCATTGACCTGGAAAATTGATTGCTGTGGGCTCGTGTCTTGACAACATAGTACGATCTAGGTAGGAGGTGTGCGCACCACCTGGCATTTGAGTGGTGTCGAAGTCGCGTATCGCACGCTCGGGAGCCGAATCCTCGTCCGACCCAGTTCCCATTGGGTTTAGATATGGGCGTACTGTAGAGTCAAAACGTCCAAACATTGCCTGGTGGTCCGGTCCTCCGCCATTCGGATGACTGAACTCGAGATGTTCAAACTCGGCTGTTGGCAAATGAGGCCCGGTAATCATGGACTCCGTTTTGTCCGAATGGAACGGAGATGTAGAGAGTTGATGGGTGTGGTTCCGTTGATCGACGGCACAGGCGAATGAATTGATTGCTTCATTCGTACTAGCACATGTTGACTTGGGAAGAGACGGGGGATTTACTGGACTGTCGGATATACTCATTGTGATTTTCCTGCTGAACACAGCCTCCTCGGTTGTAGCTCTGTCTGCGCGTCCTGTCGACTGAGAGTCACTGGTTCGGGATGAGGCAAACACGGGTATACTTGGAACCGGTTGTCCGATTTGTTGATTTTCCGTTATGGCAGCTCCATAAATGTCTCGATTTTCCGATAATTTTGTCAGGTCACAGTGTCTTGCTTTCTTCCATTCACTTCTGTTCGAATCTATTAGCTCGATTAAGCTGGATTTTGAGCTAGTTGTTGGAATGTGGCTAAATGATGGATTGGAATGTTTTCCAGTGCCGCTGTCATTCTCTTCTTCTTCGGCTAAATTTCTGGGTTGATAAATGTTCGCAGCAGCGGCAACGGCTGCTACCGCCGCACGTTGCATCAATGGACCTGCAGATAGTTCTGAAGTAATAACCTGTGAGGACATGGGCACCTGGGATGAGGAATCTGGTGACAGGGGATGATGTGAAGCGGGTTGTGGTGGGGAAGAATTCAGCATGCTACCGGAACGTTCTGAAGGGGATCGTGCGCAAAGGTAGTCATTACCCGAATGCGATGCTGAGGGATAATGTGGAATGTTATGTTGCGGTGGTGAAAAGCTCCCTGGTCCTGAACGACGAACAGTAGGTGGTATATAAGGCAATGTGGAGCCGTAACAGTTGATTAGTGAACCGTTTCCCAAACCAGATGGGCATCCAAGTGGAGATGTGGACAGTAAGTGAGCCGGGAGTGACATGCCCGGCGGATAAGGGAATGAAGCGGTCCCAGTGGATGAGCCGAGTAAGGTGGAATTCGGTCCGGAAGGATGGACGGAATATAGGCCGGAATGCATGTACGGAGGGAGTACAGAAGTTTGATTGGGACTTGATGGGATGCTGGGGAACCCTGATCCGAAAGCGGCTCCATGAGGATGCCCGTGTTGTTGCTGCTGTTGTTGTTGCTGCTGCTGTTTCACGATTTGTTTCTCCTGTTTTCTATACTTGGCTCGACGATTTTGAAACCAGACCTGAAAAGTGGGTAAGCTGACGAGTAAAAATGTGCGGGCAAAAAACTCAATGCGTTTCAATGACACGACAGTGTGAACTTGACTGAGTTCCTTACTACAAACAGAACTTTGCGTCCTGTTTACCTGCATTCATCGGTGGCCTCGTTTGTTAGACATGTCAGCGGAAGGGGGGGGGGACGTTGGAAAGGAAATTCAAAGTCAAAAATCGCTTTATTCATCCTAATGAATGGATTCTCAGCTTCTTGCACTCCAGAGACATTTATCATCGTATACAGTCACAAAAAAGTGAGGAAAAAACAGCATAGTAAATTCAAAGGAATATGGAGTAAAAGTTTGAAAATGAGTATCAATTGCGTAGGAAGTTCAAAAAGTTTTCTCCATTGGATGCCTTTAGAGCCAGAAATCTCGAAAGATAAGGGATGACGGACAAACGATAGACAGTGGTACGAGCATACACCAGTTTATAACAACATCCATACCTTTTTCAGTTTAAGATGTTCGAGATCCAATTTAAGATGTCACAATATGAATTTAAGATGTCATGTTGCTATGTGGATAGTACCTTGCACAGTACAGAGTGAAAACATAGCAACATGACATCTTATATTGGATTTCGGACATCTTAAGCTGAAAAAGGTATAGTTATAGAAGTGGATATGCATTGTTTAATTTCTGTGTGTAATGGGTGAGTGGTGTCTGATAGAATATTGTTGCAGAAGTTATCGCAAGAGGTAACATGTTTATCGGCGATAAAGTTAAACAAATGCAAATAAGGAATACCGCTTGTGCGAAAAATAATTTCAATAGATCTGCGTGGAATCATGTAATCTTTGACTCTAAGACCGGCAAATAAAACTGGGGAGCAGTAGAGAAGATGAGTAACAACACAAGAATATACAAATCGGGTAAGCAAACATAATGAAACTTTCAAAGAACGCAAGCGGGAGACAGAGAAACACACCCGTCGAATCTTTACAAAAGTGGAATTTAAATGTGAGGTCCAGGTGAGATCTTGACAGATAGTGAAACCGAGGTATTGCAGAGAATTTACTCGGGGAACAGGCTGGTTTTCAACATAGAGTGCAGAACAATTCCTTTCAAAAGAATGTAGCCGTTCTCCTTTGGCGAGCGAGAAGGTGACATCCTTACATTTAGAGTCATTGAGAGATAACTTGGAAGACGAAGACCATAAGTTTAAGGCAGATAAACTGGTTTGAAGATGTGAGAGGCGGAAATCACCTTGGAATTTGGAACCTATTGTGACATCATCAGCATACTTAATGAGAAGATCATCTAGGTTAGTGGGAAGGTCACGAATATAGAAAGAGAAAAGAAAGGGGGACAGAACTGCTTCCTGTAGCACCCCTGAGTTGACTGGTAGGGAGTCAGAGGTTTTTCTAAGAAACTTCGTGAATTGTGTTTTACCAGCAAAATAATCTTGGAGTAGAGACAAAAGCCTGCTCCTGTCAACATAGTTAAAAGCATTACTATAGTCGAGGAAACAAACACAAAATGCCCTGCCGTGCATGTCTAGGGATCGAAAAACTGAGTTTACCAAATGTGCAAGAGCGTCTAAGGTAGAACGTTGCTTGCGATAAGCGAATTGGTTATTATCTAGCTGCCCAGTGTTGGGAATAATGTTACTAAGCATACACTTTTCGAAAACTTTTAGTAAAATAGAAATACAGGCGATTGGTCGTAATTTCTCAGCTTCCTTTTTGGGACTGGTGTGATGCGCACAGGTCTCCAACAGTCAACAATTTTTGTTCCTCGAAGCGGCGATTGAAAATACCGGCAAGTGACTTCGCCAGATAATGCGCACATTCCCTCAGAACGACTGGACATCGTCGGGACGAGGAGCTTTTGATACTTTGAGTCACTTCAGCTGTGCCCGCACCTGATTAGAGCTGACATGCGAAACTTCATGATGGTCAACTGATTGGTAATATGGATACGACAATTCAGTTTGAGTTGACGTGAAAAACATGCAGTTTAGTGCATCTGCTATGGGGTGAGGCCCGCGTAGTCTGATTTTCTTTCCAGAGAGTTTTTTCATAGCGCTCCAGACTTGCTTGCAATTACGGTTATCAAGTAGGGTCTCAGTGTAGAGTTTGTCAAGATTTTGGATCTCATTCTTGATCAGCACTGATTTTTGTTTAACTAAAGGTCGATCGCGATTTTTACATGCCCATTCGATAGCTCACTTTAATTCCTTATTTGACAACCAGATCAATAGCGCTGAATCTAAACGTGAAGTAAACACTTGAAAGTCAATCAGGTACCAGGTATTCACGGACTTTTTCGGTAGGAGAAACTTGCTGTGAATGCCTCAGGCAGACTGGTTTTCAGTCACCATTTGATTTATTGATTACGCTCGGTGGAGCGTCCAAGGGGGGAAATTTATCCAATCTCAAGGCAATGGACTCATCCTTGACTAGGCTCGTGATTGAAGATGTTTAACAATGTGACCAGATTGAACGAGTAGTGACAATAATGCCATTATTTAACCGCGTCTATCTATTTATTTAATGGGTTTACCAAAAAATAAAAACACTGAATTACAGTTTTCATTGTATTTGTTATTGAGCTAGTAATAAATTTTCTCTTCGAATTCCTAATTGTTGTATATCTGCGATGACCTACAAGTTTATTTGGGTTTCTAAAGATTGACTTTCTCGAACTGATTAAATTATGATAAAGTTCACAATACTTTTCTGTAACCTGCAAGCTATACAGTATTCCACCTTCCATTCACACTTTGCTGTCTCGAATTGCATCGCATTTTGACGTCCCACTGCGTTGCTTGCAATTCGTGGAAAATTTGATTAGGACCAAGCGTGGTTCCTGATTGTGTGTGCGCACCAGAACCTTCTTCGCTGACTACCCACCAGAACTTCTCAGCCTCATTGAGCTCTCCCTCCCTCTCTCTCTCTGACACAGTCGATCCGATTACATGCCTGGACCGTTTCACAAGTCCAACCACAAACAAACAACATTCTATCTGCCTATATCTTTTCACCTATTTGACCAGTTAACCACCTACTTATCTACCCTTGGACATATGCCGACAAACACGGTGACAACACTTGAGCTGAGCCGCCGAGGCACATTCACCTCGCGCCCGTCTGGGCATCTGCATCTGCTTCTACAACACAAACATTCTCCTTAGGACGCGCCAAGTATCTCGCGCAAGTATCCGGTTCACTTGAATACTCAAGCAGTATAACTCAATTAGGTCAAGTTGCGCATGCCTCCGGAGTAATGGTAGAATAAGCGATGCCAGTCCACTCGACCCTACCCCAGGTTGTTTGAAGTGCCTCTCTCTTTTGGACTTTTCTATCTGAGTCCTTTCCCTCCGCCCCTACCCTCCGATTTTCATTCACATCGACCCCATCCTGGTCTCACCGGTGCCACTCCTCGGTGACAAAAGCATCTCGGTTGGAGAAGCGATAGTCAGATAATGATGAGCTGAAAACTTTCGAAGCGTATCTAACCGATAGAACTCACAGCCAATTTTGATGGATGCATGCATGTATCTCAAAGTTCGATGAACGTCATAGAAAAACCTCAATCGGTTCAGTGAAAAATTGTTCTTTTTAACCAGTTGTGATGCGCGAAAATGTTATCCAATAGAGCATTTTAAAATACACTGAAATACAATGAGAAATTCCGATGACCAAAAGGGTGCATAGACAAATTGCATTTGCGCAAAAGTATCCTCATAATAAGGACTCAATATCCCTGTTTGTTAGATAATTAAAAATAAAACGAATGATTTATTTTGGCTAATTATTGGGGCCCCCATTACACTGCGGTTCTCCGTAAAACAGCATCAAACGTTGGCGTGTGTTGCTAACACAGCGATCAAGCGAGTCCTCGATACTTGTATATTGCCGTAGATACAAGAAGTTAATACACGTGATATTGATGTGCTGGTCGTCAAAATATTGTCCTGTTCAGCGGAGTCCACCAATTGTTATAGTCGTGACAGAGTACCAGTTGCCTCGGTGTGCGCGCAACTGTTATCATCGCACAAAATATGGCGCAATGTAAATACCAATACCGAATTCTTCTTCCATAACACGGAAAGTTAAAAAACCAATGCACAACTATCTTATTTAATTTCCACGAGAGTACATTTGTCATCAGCAGAAATACATTTTATCTCTGAGTACAAAAACTGGATTACCGCACCAAAAAATCCCGATTATAGCTATCCGTATTGCGCAGTCGTCATCAAACCTCGCGCATCACCCACTGTCCGATCCTTTTTGCAATATTTGTACTCTTGATCGCACGGATCATATCTCTTCGTTCTTCCTTTTTGTATGCATACGATGCCCACTAGTCCATTAGTTCTCTTGGTGCCAACCTATATTCTCCTATCGGACACTTGCTACTGTTTCCTCTACCTCATTCTAAACCAAAACAATCCAAAGTAAATACATCAGAAAAATACAGTAAATTGAACAGTATTTTTAATGAAACTTGTACAAAACACTTCGAAGTTGATAGATTTCAAGAATATGACTGAGCTCTGATTTTTTGTTTTTGATGGTATCCGTAAGTCTGTTTAACATTAAGTTAACCATGTTATTTGTTCTTCTTCTCCCTTAAATCTGCCTTTTTCTGTGATTTTTTCTTTTCGACATTGGACGTTACAGAATTCCATTGGTCGCAAATTCTCATATTTCTCAGGTCATTTCAAACAAAAAGCCCTATATATATATAACTGTGATAGAATTCTTTGTAGTGAGCGACAAAGAGCACCGGACAGCTGCTTCATCCTGTTTGGGACTCGCCAGCACAAACATTTCCATCGCATTTAAATGCATTTACCTTGTGGGGAATTAGCGATCCCCCAAAGCATGAAACCCACAGCCAAGATCATCAATAGTGCCTCGTGGCTGTGAAAAAATCAAATGGGCTAGTCCAAAAATTCACCATCTCATATATATGGAGTGCAGGCAGAATAGATTCCAAATATACATTTGTTGTAGGAAGTTAATGAAAATTCGCCATTTTTTATGATTTTCAAAGACCCTAACTATATTTCACATATCTGTTATTTGCTTTGGTAATACAGCAAATAGAATCAGAAAACAACCCAACAGGGACTAAACATCTTCGTCCATACGAAGATGTCGCAATCAACAAACCACCTCATTGTTTCCCTTTAGGTGAACTCGTCTATTTTGATGAAACAACCTTGATAAGTTTTCTGTTACTCTTAGACCATAGTGACAAGAAAAGTACTGTGGACAAAATTAGGTGCTTGACAAGCAGCATGATATAATCAGAAAATATACAACTAATTGAATTGTAAGGACGCATAGTATCAAAATGGTTCATGCATGATCTTCGGTACTGCCTATAGTTCATCCTCAAATTTTTGGTGCAGCGGGAGATTCGAATGCAAATTGAAAATCAACTCACCTGTATTCTGGCCTCGTTAAGCTTGGTCATACGCGCCAATTCCTCTCTGCAGTAGATATCCGGATAGTGCGATTTTTGAAAAGCAGCCTCTAATTCTTGAAGTTGGTCTTGAGTGAATGTGGTGCGGTGTCTCCTACGAGCTGGTGTTGGACATGAAGTAGTACTGGACGAATAATGTCCAGATGCCGCTCCCAAC